GGAGAGGAGGGGGCGGGCCGCCCAGCGCGAGCGGTTTCGCCCCGGGCGGGGCCCCTGCGGTTGCCTAATCCGGATTGGCAACCAGTCGAGGAGATAGGTGGGACCGGTTAACTGTCATTCCACTCTTCCTCTCTTTGCTCTTTTCTATGCGTGGTTTCCTCGTACGCGCTGCCTTATGTCGCCTCGCCAACTGTCAGCTAGAAAACGTGCTGATGACTAATGAAGAAGAATAGAAGTTTTAAGCGCGATTTTCTGTAAACAGTTCTTGACACTCGACAAAAAAAGTACTATTTATTTAAAAAATATTGATTATACTTCACTGATCATCGCATTTCATTATCAACCATGGAAAACATGTCAATTTTATCCTTATTTTCCAAACTCCTTTGATCTAGTTTTAGAATCGAAGTAAAGTTTTTATCTTCGTCTCTTCTGCAATGTGGCGTCTGTTTCTGGAGATGTAGAACGCCAACAAATAGATGGGGCCACGGACTCGAGCCCCGCCGCCGCGACGTGGGTGGTTCAGGTCCGCGTTAACAGGAAGGCGCAGTTACGACCGCTGGCAGCGCCCACAGAGCCTGCCTGGGATTCCCTGGTGCGTCGAATGTATGTCATTGGTCGCGGACAGATAGAGCGGTGATCAGGGCCTTGATGGCAGCTCGTTATGTGCGAGGGCGTCTGCGCCGGTGCTCCGCCGGCGCCCCCGTCCCCCGCCGGTTCCGATTCCGCGGTTCGGCTCTTTACGATCTCGTTCGCGGCGGATATTAGCCTCGACTGCCGCTGGAGCGCGCGTTACGAGGCGTGCCTCATTTGCGCGTTTGCGATCTCCTCTCGCCCCCTCGCCCGTCGGCGCCACCCCGACGACTCAACGGCCCAAGACGCGGCGCGCGCGGCCGTAAGGGGTTCGCTGCCGCCTCGCACGCGCCACCGCTGGAGGAATCGGGAACGACGTGAGCCGCGGCAGAACGCGACCGCCGCGCCGCGCCGCCTGCGACGAGGTGTGAATGTGATCGCCTATAAAAGAGCGTAATTGCAGAAATGGTGCTCGTTTTAATGCCGTTGATTCGGTGCTGATGGTGGGAATGATGTCAAATTAATGAAATGATTTATAATAGCGATAAAGAATTTTCATAGAAGAACACAAATAATTACGTTTTAGTCGAAACAATAAAACGAATAATGACTGAATTAATTCAGAATAAGATATACATAAATAGGTAGGTTGTGCCTGCCTTAGCGTCATCAATATCGATCGTGTGCGCATGCGCAGATGCACAATATTGGTGCGAAACTTGAACTGCGCGTGAGCAGAAGATCGATAGTGTTTTAACGTTTGAGGTGCCACCAACTCCCTAATGTTCAGTAATTCATCACTGTGTTTCAAATAAGGCGATAGCCTTGAAGACCTTTCCAATGAAGTTGGTGTGCTTTGAGGCATCAAGTTCTTGATAAAGATCAATTGCCAAGAATACTCGAAAGCAGTTTCATTTAAGAAATGTGACTCATTCACAGGAAGATTGGAAAGTAAACGGAACTGAGGGTAACAATGTACATACAAGAAGGAACTAATTTACCCATGCAGATAAGGAACCGGATTAAATGACACACTAGACCCAGGATGTCCGCTAATGACTCATTTACCTCAAAAGATGTGATGTATGGAAGCTAAATTATGCTTCATTTACTCTAATTTTATCTCAATTACGAATTGCTATGTTTGTTTTCACATGAGTCAGATTTGAAGCGTGTTCCGGATTTCAGTGTAATGTGTAAATGCAAATAACGCGTTTGGTAACTGTCCGACACTCTTTCTTATCTCTACCAGCAACTTGCGTTAAGAACTCGCAAATTGGAATGGAGTTACGAAATGTAACTTCAGCGCGTCAATTGCAACGCTAGGTTTTCTTCCATCCCCTCTCCCAACCATCCACCTACACTCGTAAATATTTTAGAAAACAATATGTCAACTTGCAATATACAAATAATACCAATTAATCAACTAAGTGGCAAATTTCAATCTTGATGAAGTCAGATGATTCGCCTTCCCCCTTGCGGCGCTCACCGGAGGTGAAGGGTCATTGCGGCCCGCGACCTCCAGAGCTTCGTCTCCCCGGGCTCCGCCCACTCCTCCCCCCGCTCCCCCCGCGAAAGCGGCACCGTCGAGGCCGCCGCCCCACCCAGTCCCAGCCCAGCTCCGTACGCCGGCCGGCCAAACCTGTTAGCGCAGTGCATTCAAAGTGTATCGCGCTCCTGCCGCCGGCGCTTCGCGGCCTCCGCGGGCCGGACCTCGAAGCGGCTAGCGGACGCGGAGACGATTTCGCCTGTCGCCCGCGCGCCCCCGCCCTCTCCCGGCCCGCCCCCCCGCCGTCTCCGGAAGCTGCGGCCCCGACGTGCGCGGACGATGTACCGAGAGCGGCACCCGCAGGACACGGAAAACCTGACGATTTGTTGGAAATATGCGGGGCTCGTTTCAAAGGAAAATCGTCTCGACGTGAGGTTTTTGGGATGAGAATCTATCCGTTCTGCGTTGTGCCAAAACACCAAGATGAGATGGTATTGTGGTCCCTAGAATCTTTTAAATTCTTTACCAGAGCGTTTGACTCCATTATATTTGGGAGTCAATCTGTTCGGAATATACAGGGCTGTTTGATAGGGTAGTCGTTTTCACTTGGCATTTTTTGGGGTGGTGATTACTTTTACGTTGATACATGTCTGTGCAATAGTCCAAATTTTGGAATATATTGGAGACACAGCTTCGGAATCATATTTTGTTTACGTTCGTTTACAGAAAAGATTGAAATGCAAAACTATTGTAGATAGCGATTATTAAGTTGTTAGCCTTCATCATATTGCATTGCATAACTTTTTCATGCCTGTTTCATTCACGAGTAATATTCGTAGATCTGAAACTGTTTTCGATGTAATGACATTTCAAGAACGATGCATTGATTATAATAAAACATTTTATTCTTTGATATTATACCAGTCGTTAATAGCATTCTCATGTGCTTCTTTTATTTGTGAACAGGAATTGAAGGCCGATAGCTGTTAAGGGCTTACTTACAGTTAGACATGATCGTCGGAGAAGATGAATACATTCTTAATGACAGTGTAAAATTGCCATTTAACGATCGCGAAGCCTCTTTTGCACAAAGTTCCTTCTACGGAACTGCTTTTTCAGGTTTCGGAGAAATTCGTAATGAAACTGTCACTTTTAGAAGAATGGGCTCGAGGGAATGTGGTATAGTGACTGAAAGCGGAAAATTCGGCTTCTCCTTCCCGGAGCTTACAAGCCATTCGCCGCGAGCCTTCTCTGCATTTGTTAAATCGCACGCTTCCGAAGCCGGAGCCAGGTGTTTCGCTCCTGGTTGTTGGAGAAACGAGGCTTCCCCAATGTTTCGGACGTCTTTCCAATTTTTTAGGGCAAACCCCCTGACTTGTGTGCCATATTCCTGTGAGAGCGTATGTGGGGTAGGATAAGTATTTCCCCCCCCCCCTTTCCCAAAGACGCGGGGTTAGTGGTGTCCTTTGTCGTTCGCTATATATTGAATCTTGATGATTGTATATTGATGGCTGTGTCTGTCTGATCATGAATAACAATGTTCGATTCGTGATGGTGACGTTCAAGTACTAGTAGACGTTCGGGTGGGATACTATTACAACGAAATAATGTTATGAGCCAGCCACATCACAATCGCATCGACAAAATACTTTTTCCTTGCAAGGGTCACGAACCGCAAGCCGTCAGCGCCGCTTCCCGGGACGCTGCCCTCATCGTTCATGCCCTCAGGGCGGGCCTCCCCTTGAATTAGTGAATAAGGCTACCACGCGACGCGGCGGTGCCTGGCCCGCGCGTGAGCGACCTTCTGCACGTGTGACCCCAGGCTCCGCGTGGCGTAGTGTGCGCGGTGCCGTCGCGGCGCCTCTAACCAAACACCTGCTTCCCGGGAAGCATTAGCGCCGCGCGCGCTAACTGGCCGCTTCCTCTGCTCGCCAATGTGCGAAGCGCGTCCGAGGAGCGCGAACTCCGCGTAGAGCGTCGGCTCTTCCTCGTCGCTGCGGTGGTTAGCACTGCTTGCCAAGAAGACGACGTGCCTCTGCCAGACGGACCGCTGACGGACGTAGGTGGTGTGAATGCGACAATTGTGTGTTGGGTTTCCCTTTGTTTTCTTCTTAACGCCGTTTTTTTATTTATTGAATGATCTCCATTGTAATGTTAATTAATGTAATATGAAATGGCACGATGGGTTAATGGGTGAAACCATTTTTATAAATTTAAAATAATATTTATTAAAAAATAATTTGTATTTTTAAAGGAGCATCAAATGCTGTTCGGAATAAGAGAAAGGATAATACAACGCGATTAGAATAAAATCGCTTCAGAGAGATTTGCCTCAGGCTACATCGTATCTTTGATATCAAGCCTCGACCTTTGAGAACCCTGACCTCCCGGTTCGAGTTCCTCTCGAGACACAACTCCAAAGTGTTCGAATCGCCCCGATCAGACGCTAGTACTGCCTGCGTCACCTGAGTCAGGCGTGTTTTAAAAAGCCTCAGATTTCCCCAGGAGCGTGCTGCAGCGTGAAACTCGAACTGCCTTCACAAGACACTTCGTTATCGCTCGGGCGACGCCAGCAGTCGCAACTCCGCCTTGCGTCGCGATCCGACTACTCGGCAAAGGTGAAGGGCAGGGCGGCCCGCGCGTTTCGGGGGTGGGGTGGGGTGGGTTCGTGCATGACGCCGCATGCAAGCGTGCTCCACGTGCGCGCCACGCCGGCGCGACGCCGAGTTTTCAGCCGGCGCTTCTCGCCATGGCGACTCTGCGCGCGCCACGCCCCGCGTGAGTATGAAAAGAAAAAAAAAAGAATCGCGACGCGACCGCGAGGGTGGCCTCGCGGTTAGTCAAGGGCCGGCGCGTCGCTGCGGCCTTTGTTGGCCGCCGGGCGATGATGGACGGGCGTCTGACCCTCGGCGCGGTTTGTGTGCAGCGGGTGGCATCGCCCGTCCCGCCGCCGCCCACGACTGCGTCACGTAGTACTCTCCTTCTTGCAACTCCCCCGCTCTTTATGTAGCCGTCGATTACGCGGTTGCTCTTGTGGCCGAGTCTTAGTCCTTGCGCGTCGCCCGAGTCTCTGTCGCTTCTCCGCGTCCTTCTCTGTTCCCTGCGCTCCTGCTTTCCTCGGGCTCATTCGCCGGCGCGAGTTGTAAACACGTAGAACGATTTGTCATTTTTACGCGGCGATTTGTATGCAAAACCTCGGCGTGCAGTCGCCGTCCCCGCCCGCCCCGACCTCGCATAATCCGCCTTCGACAAATGAAGCCGCTACCCCGCCCCAGCCCCGCCCTCGCTGCCCGCGCCTGGCGCGATTTTTCACGCCTCAGCAACGCCGCGCCGCGGTCGGCTGTTGCGTCGAGCGCCCCTCCCCCCTCTGAAACCCCGCTCCGTTGCACGTGTATGATGAACCTCGCCGCTCCTGCCTTGCTCTTGACACGAGCGGCCCTGACACCGGCACGAGCGATCGACTCCAGCTGCCGCCCTTTGCCACCCCCGCAACCCAGGCCTCCAGCACGCGCCTGCACGCGCGCGGCCAGAGTGGGGTTGCTCTCCGGTGGAATTATCAAGAATAGGCGGATCAAACGTATTCTTGCCGAAGCAAAGCTTATAGTTTATGGAAAACGTTAAAAAGAAAAATAAATTGCATAATTTCGTTGAAATAATCCCAATGCAGCCTGTTTACATAAATATCACTTTTTTTCTGGGAATACGTGTACATGTACATGTACCCTCAGTTTTTGTTTGTTGCTTTTTCTAAATAAAAAAGCAAGACCTTGTGGCCGATTATACTAAACATTCTATTAATCTCCAAACATTTTTATATGTATTGGTTTGTTTATTCCTAATTAATTGTTAACTAATTTTTAAATAAATGATTTTTCTACTAATTAACAAATATAATTAATACAATACATTATGTATTAATTATGTATTATTGATTAAGACTATTTCATGAACTTGCACAGTGCTTTCGTGCAATATATAACTTGTTTTACACTAGTGAAGTCCAACACTAACAAACGTTGTTTCATTTGTTGCAGGTTGGTACCAACACAGCCCCCTTCGCGCCGTACTTTGCACAAGGAGGTTGGAAGGCGTTCGGTGAGTGCGCGCCGACTGTGTATTACATAGGCGCGTAGCATATGCGCACGGCGTTCACCGTTCCTAAGCCCACTTACGAAGGGCGCATCTTCGATTGCTCGTAATCAGAGGGCTGTCGGCGTGGTGGATGTAGCTGATGCATCTCGTCCACTTAAAACTAATGCCGACGTGAATTATCCAATTACCAGAGCTCCCAATTATCTTCCCATCAGCCGATGACGCTGCAGCACCGCCCTTCGGAAGCGCCGCTCGCTGATATATAAAATGGTTGACGTCGAGTGACTGGCACAACGCGTCGGTTTGCGGTGGCTCTTGGCGATGCATTACATGTTCTGTATTGTACACTTCCGCTCGCGGCCGCGGAATCCTAATGATTAAAATGAGCGAACCCAGAATCGTTACAAAATACCCAACACACCTATAACTATAATTGTAAAGTTAAATGTATGTAAAGTATATGTAATAAACGTTCATGTTGCTAAAGCAAACTGAATACTTTTTAGGCCGTTTTAATGAACTGCCGGTATGCAGTAGTCCGGAATCCGTTGGCTTCAAACAATTAATTTTCTTAGTGTTGGATTCGATCAGGGTAGGATCTAGACGTTCAACTTGGAAGGGCAATCTTGGTCTTATTGTGATAGAATGTAATAAATAATATTCGTATAAGGCGCCCGGAGGTGCAACGCTAAAAAGCCCTCAGTTCAACCAACACAATTGTTATTATGCGAAAGAGCTTTTCTAATGCGTTTATGCCATTTCACAGTGAAAGGATACGGAACCTTCGCAGGTTACATGTAATGCATCCACAATTGCATTGCATCCGAATTCATGAATGCATTGCGCTTTTACTTGTACAATATAATTTAAATAGTCCTTGTCTTTCCCTACTCGACCTGCCACTGGTGTAGTTACGGACACTTGTTGGTTTGCAATTACTCTATCAGTGAAGGTTATCATAATTACCTAGCATTGGTGGAATATAATGATATATCTTCAAGGCGAGAGGGTTCCAATGTTTAGCTTTCACTTGAATTTCAAAACACTTTGAAAGATAAGATCAGATGCAAACTGCTTAGGATGATTATATGTTTTGCAAATATGTTTTGATTCTACGAAATGTATTTTGATGCACTGTTATTCTTATCTTTTAAAGAGCCGCGTTCTTGGTAAAACTTCTAACTGTTTAGAAAATTGCATGTATTTTATGGTGTATTGATCTTGGATAAAAAAAAAAGTCTGTACCGCAAACGTACAGGATGCGTAGTCAGCATATTGAATCGTAATCAGCGTTATAATTTACCATCGACAACAGCTTCTCCCAATGGAATAAAGTTGTAAATGAATTTTCTCCTCGTTCGAGCATAAGAAAATAGAGGAAATTGCGAATTCTAGGAACCTAACATTTCAATGACAACAATTTGTTGAATTAACGAATTCGAACGGAATGTATGACCTACAAAAATACTAAATTCTAAAAAAGAAATATCCGTATTAAAATCTAGTTCCAAAATGTGTACTACTTTCTACAATTCAATTAATATCGAAACCTGTATCCGACGACTTAGAAACGTTCACGCTCCAACGTGCCTTGCGGGATCTTGCTTGGCGGCACAGCTGGAGACTGCCACTCCCTTTTCTCGTCGTGAAAGAGGGGAGGGTGCGTGTGTTCGGCGTTGCGTTGCGCCCCGCCTGGCAACGAAGGGGTGCGTGGGCGGCGGAGGCAAGACGTCGAGCCCCCGAAGGCTGCACCTCGAGGATTGGCGGCGCAAGGGGCGGGGCGCAGGCCGGGCGATGAGGGAGCGCGGGGGGTGTGCACAGCTGCGGGCGCTGCGATAGACACTTGCTCAAACAGCACGCGACGCCCAGCGCCCGGCGCATCGCTCGGGGGCGTGACAACGTGGCCCGCAGCGCGCCTCCGCTCCCCCGCCCACAGCACCCCGCCCATATCACACCCCGCCCTCGTCCCCGCCCTTCACACCAGCCCTAACCCCCGCCCTCACCCTCACCCCCGCCCTCGTCTTCGCCCCCAATTCCAGCGCGTTCCCACCTCCCCCTCAGTTTTAAGTCAACGAGCGTGTACCCACAAATCTTCGAATTTGCCTTCACGGAAAGTAAAACATGTAAAGACAGCAAAAATATGAACTCTAAATGTGCACTGTCTCCTTTGATTTTAGGAATAAGTCGATCCATGAATCGCGAGGCAAACAGCGGTTATCTACCTACATATCCACAAGAATATGAAGTTAATCGTCAAAACTACTTTATTTTCAAAATGAGACCAGTGTATTTTTTAACTGAAAAATTAAAAAATTAATTCAACAAGAATACGTGCCGACTTTTGGTGTCCAAGTAAAGTAAAAAGAAAATTATTATTTATACATACAATTTACACACACACACACACACCACACACACACAATATATATATATATATATATATATACTATATATATATGTGTGATGTGTGTGGTGTGTGTGTGTGTGGTGTGTGGTGTGTGTGTATGATTTACACACATAATATTCGCGAATATTTCTCGTCTTCGTGTTTCCCTGCTAGCCTTTTCATTTTGCATTCACGGGAATCAAGCGGAGGACATGCACTTCGACTCGGTGTCCACACAATCGTGAGTTCAATTAATTTTCGTGACTCGTTGCAACGATAAGACCGGCCGGCGACACTTCCATATTCTTCCTGTTTTCGTGTGAGTGGTTTGCGTCTTTTGATGTGCGTGGTAGCGTATTACCCGACAGAGGAAAAAGCACCATGACGTGGCGATGTTCCAAGGTCGGTGCGTCAAAGCGCCTTAAGCTCTTCCTAAGGATGCTGTACCTTGACGAAGTTCACCTTCCTATCGTGAGTGTTATAAGTACACACAACATGTTTCTGGTTAACTCGGCCCCGGCTGAATGCATTGATACTCGAAGACAATTTTGATTTTCAATGCAGTCCTCGGCCGTTGCGTTTAAGTAAGCAACTTCCGTTTAAATTATAGATAAAGCAGTTCAATACGTAGAATATTGATTTTACGGAGAATACGGAGAATATTTTTTTTTTTTTAAATCCTTGTACGCTACTTTCCTTAGTATGACAAAATAAACTCATTAACTTTTCTGTGAATATGTTAATCATACAATATTGTGCCCTTAATTATGTATGTATATTGTTTGTATATAGGAGGATTTGTTTGCTTTAAAATCCCATTACATTTCTTTTAATTTGTTTCAAAGTGATTGAGAAACCCTTACGAATGGATGTTCAGAAGAATACGAAGGAGTATGAAAAGCCGACGCCAAAATCACACGGTAAAATCACTCGCATCTCAAGCTTCTGGACGCTGCTCCAAGTCCTAGCGTCGCAGTGGCCGGACTATTGAACTAGCATCGGGAGTCCGGAATATTACACGAGGGAGAGGTCGTATTTTCACCAGGATGGGTTCCGATTTTATATCTTTTTTCGGGTATCCCTTCAAGTATTCTTTCTAGATACGGGGAGAGCAGTACTGCGGACACCTCGGTTGCCCAGAGAAAACAAGGGGCCAGAGGGGATAGATCCTCGGGGGCGCCTTATTTCAAACAAAATCCCCCCTCCCATGCCTTTACATAAACAGAACGAATCTCTCCATGTAACAGAAATAACATATAGTGGGTAATTTGAATTAGAAGTTAATTTGTTAGTTTGGGATGGAAAAAAATCGCAGCTCCTATTATTAAGCCGGGGCTGGGGCCAGCTGCCTCTCTTGTGGACCCCACTGATTTAGCAACACATTGCTGCGCCCTCGCCGCGGCCTACGTGATCCCGCGCCTCCGCCTCTATCGCTTGACGTCAGCGGCGCGCCGCGTGGCGGGTGGGCGGAGCTTGCCGCGTTAGCGCCGGCGGCGGCGGAGTCTCCGCGAAGGGCGGCGCCCGCGGAGCCGTTTCGGCGAACGCGCGGAAAAAGAGCCGAGCGCTCTTCCTCCCCCACGGCGCCGACGTGCGGCGTCTTCCGGCCCCGCCCCAACGAGCTTGTTCGGCGAACGCACTAACGTCGCCTGGCGGAAAGGAAGATGGTGGAGCATGCGACGAGTGTCACGCGTACTTTGCGAGCTCCTCTGCTATCCTCTGCAAATTCATTCTGATTGTTTGCGTTGAACATTCAAAAGAAGTCACTGAATGGTTTTCGGATGATTTGCCGGTGTTTTAATGATGTATTTCTAAATAATGGTAAATAAACTAAAATTGCGATAAGGCGTGCGCGTAATAAATAACTTTTACGATAGTTTTCATCTTTCCGTTAATATTTGATGACATCATTACGAATTTAATGGACTTACGCCAGTGAATATAGTAACGTAGGTCAAGTTGTTTGTGTGAACCATTTATCATTTTAGAAATAAATCACACACACCTAAGAAAAGTCCGAGCTTTAACGTTTTTTTTTTATTTCACTTATTTAATGAGTACTATTTTCCTTATCGCGCTGGTTTAGAATGCTGCTGTGCCAGTTCATTATCAGGCACCGAAAAATCCTCCCATATCGTGCCGGTAGCGCGCAAGTTCTATGTTTATTGTGGTTTTCTAGAACGCCGTATCGTCGCATCTAAGAGCTCGTGTGCGTTTGTGTGTGTGTGTGTGGGGGGGGAGCGGACAAGTACGTGTCGGAGGCTGCGTGGCGGACGTAGTTGGGCTTGCGGCCGCTCGGGGCGCGCGCGTGTCGCGAGGTGAGAGGCGTTGACATTGGAACATCCTGTTGGTGATAGCGCCTTATCAGCGTTGTGTAACGGTTGTGACGTAACGCGCGTTTGGTGGCCGCCGCCGCCGCCGCCGCATGCGCGCGCGTAGCGCTCCCCGCCGCGGAGCCGCGAACCTCCCCCACGCGATGGCACGTCTCCCTTCCAGCGGGCTCATCTCGCATCGAGGGCCTTGCAACGAATGTTCGCCATGTTGCCTCGATTCTCCATGCACTTGCACTCCCCAACCTAATATCCCTCCCCTCCGAATATTTTAAAATTTTATGTCTATAATTAATTATTTTTTATTTTATAGGATAAATTAAAGCTTCTTAATTTTAAAAATTCTGATTTTCTAGTATGAAAACAAATGAACCATCTCGTAATTATCAGTATTTATTTGTTACATCTCATGAGACCGTATCTACTATCTCTTATTACCATTTTTAAATGACTTCGTCATTTCAGATGAGAAAAGGAAAGTGCAACACTGCTTCGATATTTAAAATTACATTTTGATTGGTGTTTTATTTTCTGTGTATTATAAAATACGTCGATAAATGTAAATATCCCCGGAGAAATGCTTACGTTTAGATTTCTCTCGTAACTGAATATGTGATACAAGACAACACCACCAGTGCGCGATATGTATGGACGGAGGAACGATTACCATCATATCGACAGCAGAATTTCCTAATTCCGCTATTAATTTATTTATATTTCTTTAATCGTTTCGATCAGTATTGCCAGGCACATTGTCGAATTCTCAGGATAAACACCGACATCTGGTGCAATTTCAGTCTTCATTGCCCTCAATATCGCGTGATTTCTTTTAATATGGCTTTAGAATGTTCCTGTAAGAGTAGGCGTCTGGAAAATGGCCACTATTTCTTGTCAAAACAAGAAGATAAAGTTAGTGAAATGGATGTGGAAGGTTTTTATGACTCACTCTCATGCGCGCAACGACAGTTTCTTGAAAGTTAGATTTTCTTGTTAGACTCATATGGTGGTCTGTTATGAAAATGATGTTCCGAGTATTTGGTTGTTTAAGATTCTAAATGTGCTCTCACGATAAGGATGTGTGACTCACTAGAAGACAGCATTACTTTAATGAGAAAATGCGCAAATTACGTAATTGTCATAATAATCTTCAAAAATTCGCTTTCTTCGTAAAATATAGGTAAGAAAATATGGTAAAAATACATTAGAACTAGTAATATTTTTCCTGTTGTGAATATCTCTCCACAGAACATAAGCGGTAAATAATTGCCTATTTTATGAGTTATTCACATTTATCATTAGAGGCGAAGTACTTCCTCGATACATCCACAGATTTCTCAACAGTGATGCAAACAATAGATTGAAAGATATAATACCATCCGTAGTGCCACGCTTTCGTTTCGTAACAATGTGGGGAGACATAAGGTTTTTTAAATATATAGTATAGTTTATACATTATTTGATACAATTTGAATCAGATATAAATTCATGAGTGAAAATAAATTTCAGGAAGACGTTCTTAAATCAAACCAGACAATCGCTCAAGGTACTAGCGGATTTATCAAGATTGTGCTAGTTTTGTTATAAAGCGTCCAAATATTTTTAACCATTACCAAAAAATGTGTTATACGCCCACGTTCTATTCATGTCATAACCGAAACTACTGCATACGTTAAATAGGTCATAGACTGCCGAAAATTATTTTTTAACCCTAGAGAACCAAATGCATGTACATGCATTATTGCCTATTTGAGGACATGGTTGCAGTATGCAATGAAACGGGGAAAGGCCATCCTCCCAACAGTTAAAGTCGCGCGAGGGGGCGGGGCTGGGTGTTTTCAAACATTCCTCTTTCGAAAGTGAGCAGTTTATTGACCCGACAGCAGCAGCCGCCGCCGGCCGCGCGTTATCATCTCTTCACTGGGCCGCTTCCGCGTGGCCCCTGCGCTACAGGACCACGGCCTCCTGACACCCGACTCCCTCCCCTCCCCAGGCACCCACGTAGCAGGTCGCCCGCCGTCAGCGCCCCGTTTGGTTCAGCGCACACGATTATTGGCTCTGGAAAGCTATGAAAAATCACCAAAACGAAAACAGGGGGACTTTACAGTTGCCGGTGCACACCCTGAATATTGTTCTTTTGAACTATCATTGACAGACATTTCAATTATTTTATTTTGCTTATGAAGCTTACAATTCTATTGCTTTAATGAATTAGATTCGCCCAATTATTACATGAATAAAAATCCGTTTGGCAAAATCAAATGGTATTTAATCACAATTATCAGCGGCATTGATTTACCTCATAAATAGATTAAGTCCAGTATTCAAAAATGAATCTCAAATGAGATTACATTAATTATTGAGTTTTGTAGTGGGCAAGCTCGATCACTTTAGGCGATGACGTAAGCGTGGAAACTTGTAACAACAATAATAATAATTTATTATTATTTACCCTTTTTAGTTCATTAAGGGAAGAGACCACTCGTCCACTGGCCTAAGTCTTTTAAAAGGAGGCGAGGTAAAGAACATAAGGCGGCCGAGCAAACTGTCCACTCTACCCTATTAATATAATTATTTTTGATGTCTGTACACTTCTAGTTAAAAAAAAAATATTGAGCCAACTTCTTCTGAAGGGCTCGTACATACGTGCAGTAAAAAACCCAGAGTTACTAAAACATCAATACGTATAAATCCTCTCTTGTGAGTTCTAGTGTTGTCAGTAGTGACGGGACATCGACAACTGAATATTGATGTTAAAAATTAAAACATCGGTATTAATACTTAGGCCAAAATTCATTCAAATGAAGGACGGGCGAGGGATAGTCTGCTCGATGATGGTAATACAAACCGCGTTCACGTGGTTCGAACAGATAAACAGAGCTACCATCAGTTATTATTTCATATTTGATCGTTTCCAAATTTAAAATTTTATCCCCCCAATCTTTCATCCACGAACAACTGACATTCAAGACGTGAAAACATGGATGCCCAAAAAGCATCGTGCAATAACATGAGACATTTCTGTAGAAACATCGATGTTTTGAAACATCGGCGTCGATGTGCATTTCGATACTTGTCAGACGGAATTTGCGGGTGGGGGGGCGGGGCGGCACTATCACGCCAGGTCGCGCGCGCGCTTGCGTCAGGCCAGCCGCTCGCTTTGTCTGCGCTCGCGACGGCGGTGCTCTTCCTGTGGCGTCGCGTCAGCGCAGGGCAGCAGGCAGAGGCAGCAGTGTCGGCGCCGCCGTCGAAGAAGCGGCCAAGGAACAGCGGCGCGTCCTTCGGCCGACGCTCGAATTGGGAAGGGGAATTGGAAAGGAATCTTCATATTCCAGCGTTTCTGCCTTTTACTCATCCTTGTCTTCATTATCATCTTTCTCCCCTCTTGACGTATTTTTTTTCTTCCTTTATTCCCTCCTTCCTGTTTCTCTACTCTCATTCCTCCGTTTCTCCCCTTTCCTTCACCTACTTTCCAATTCTGTTGTTTTCCTCCTCAGAGCTTCTTCCTTTATCCTATCTCCCTTTTTTATGCCACCCGACGTTTCATCATTTCTCTTTCCTAGCTGTCTTTCATTTTTTATCTTACCCCTTTGTCCTCCTTTCTTCATTCACGTTATCTCGTTCCTTCTGTTCCTTGACCCCTTCTGCTAGAGTAACCGGAGAATAAACTCAATTCACCCCGGCCAGGGCGCCAATTGTGCGGGACGCGAAGGGGGTCAAAAGTAGTGGTTGGGATAATGTTTGCTAGACTCCCCCGACGAATGGCAATTTTTGGAAGTGAGCGCCTGATTTCTGTCCGTCCATGGATACGACCGATGCGTCGAATGCCCGTGGAATGGGTCTTCTCGGGAGCCGTAAAACAAAGGAAAGCGATATCTGACGCTAAGAACCTTTTCTTGTGATTATCATAAAACACTACTTTTGAGATGTTTAATGGCATTATTTAATAATACTGAATTATCCCTTATGAAACTGGTTTATGATGCTTTGACACTGAGAGAATTGCCTTGTTATCCTACTTTCTTCGCAAATAAGCGATAATTAGATTTACGAGTAAGGGCATACGGAAACACAACATAAATTATGTACTCTGATATCCTCCGATGAGCGTTTATTAGAATTAGTCGAGAAATAAACTCATCTTCAATCCCCTTCTGGTTAAATCACGCGTCCAAGAACAGAAGCGCCCCTGCGGTCCTTGGAACTCGGAACCGCGTCGTTCGGGCCGGTCGCTCTCACCACGCCCCCGCGCCGCGCCGGTCAAACAAACAAAAGCCGGGTCCAAAGGCGCTCGGTGTGTGCTCGGCGCCGATAACAATGGCCACTCGACACGAGGAAGCGCGGCGGCGTGGGAGCCTCGCGGCGAGATCCCGTGCTGTTGACTCGTGAACCTGTCGCAGCGACCTCCGTATCGCCGTGATTTGTCGCTGGCGCTGCCGCTCCCCGCCACAAGGGCGCTTTGTACGCGCGGAGGAGTCTTCGCCCCGTTATCGCCTCCTGCACCTGCTGCCGCGCGTTCGTTCACCGAATCCTCCGCCTCCGCCTCCGCCTCCTCCGCCGCTGATAAAGGGTGCGTCCGGGATGAGCGTGAAGCAACCTGCCCGCTTCGCAGCCTAGATGGCGTAATTCTGCGTAGCCTATTCTGTGCTTTCGCGTCTGCCCGATCGGTGATAGGGCGTCGTGGCAGCAAGACTGCGATATCTCAGGGTCCTATGCTTTCCGAGTATCTAGATAATATAATTATTAGGAAATAACCACCTTCTAATGTGTAAATATTTAGACGGTTCAATTACTAACTTCCGTGAAGTGAGTTTTAATTGACAATGGAGATTTGCGGTTGAAAGGAAATGCACTGCTCTGCCCTGCCTTGAGTGTCCGTCATTGGCTGACACTCATAACCGTGACAAACTTTTTGTTTTGTTTTTCATTTGCGTTTACTACTTGGTCCCCAAAAATAACCGTTAAGACAATGTCAAATTCTTCTAGTACTAATCTCCTTCGTGATTGATGGTGAAATGCATAAATAATAAGAGTTTATAAAAAAACGTAGCATCTACTCGCCTTTTTATCTCGTTTGAAATTATTGTTTTCATTTAACACGCTTTGTTCTGTCGGAAGAGCAATACAGCCAGTAATCGCCCGCGACTCGGTGAATGCTATCCGTCGCAGGTGATATTGTATTCGCATTTCCCGCAAGGTCCCGCCCTGCGGGGTCCTAAGGGCACGGCCCTTGGCGCTCGTGCCACCTGCCTCGCCCCGCTTATTCCCCGCCTCATCCAGCCGCCTCGCCCTCGCGCCTCGTTGCAGCGCATTAGGCCCCGCGCCGGGCGCTTCCGTTTCTTGGAAGCGGCGGCTCGGCCCTCGCGAGGAACGTCCGTTGGCTGGCGACCCGCTCACCTTGGCGCGTTTGAATATTCCCCTGCGGGAGCAGCCGGGGCGGCCTCGCCGCCGCCTCCTCCTCCGCCGCCGCCCGCGGATCTTCGCTGCCGCCACCGCCTTCTTCCTCTCGCGCGCACACGCGGCGCGTCCTTCTGCGCGCGCGACCTTCTGCGCCGCGCAGGCGGCGCGGGTCCGGCCAACGCGGCGCGGCGCGGCGCGTGCTCGGCGCCTGCAGCCGGCGCCCACGCAACCCGCCGCGCAGGCTGACCTGCTGCAGATGAGGCCTGCACGCGCGCCCCCCTCCGCGCCCGGCGCGTCATGGACGTTTTGAGAAGTCGTAACTGTTTGGCTTAGCAACCGCTGGCGAAGTGGGATTCGTGCACGCCGGATACAAAACGCAGAATGCGAGTGAAAGGGAAACGTAGAGTTGGACGAACAGGTGCGGAGTTCTGGCAGGAAAAACTGGTGTGTACCTTGTGTGATGAGAAGGAAGTCCCGATATGTAATATTTTACATTCCAATACTTATATAATAAAATGGTCAAAGAATGTAAATGATCAATGAATGCGGATTAGTACAAATAGGCAATTGGTATAGCAACATTTTCTACCAGTGTAAATGTCGTAACATATTGTTGTCGGTGCGCAATTGCTTGTAAGTGAATAGATATTTTACTAAAACTACTGCTATCCCCTCCCGCATGAAGCGATAATCCAAGTGTTTGCTTCCCCCTTGGTATCTGTGTGCACCTGCTGTCGTCGCCGCGCCGCCCGCTGCCCCCGCGCGCGGCCGCCGCCCGGGCGCCTTCCGCCTCTGCTCTCCGGCGCGGCGCTTGTTTTTGCGCGGCGGCTCGCGAATTTCGAAGGAAGCGGCCCGCGTTGCCAGTTCGCTCCCGCTCGCGCTCGCGCGGTTGCGAACCGCGGCCCGCCGCCTCGGACCGGGTTTGCCCCCGCGCCCACCGCGCTGCGTCTCCGCGCCGGCGATTGACACCCGGCGCTCGCGGCGACGGCGGGTTGACGGATGCTGCGCGCCGCCGGTGACCTTGGCGAGGTGACTGACCCCGTGACGTCATGCGTCGTCTTGGCCGTGTTTGTTTCAGCGCCGTCTGGTATGTGCGGGGAGAGGAG